GTATTAAATCTCCAATATTTTCTATCCAAAAACTAAATTTTTATCGATATTAATTTTWAAAAAAACTAATAATGGTCGAAAATTGCATATATCTATGAATAGTACAACATAAGTAAAAAATTTTTGAAAATTTCATGGCGGATAGAATATACTTATAAAAACATTCGGTGAAAATGTCATGTATCAATGCTCATTAGTTTTAAAGTTACATCAAAAATCAAAACGATTTTGTCGAAAACTGATTGTGCGTAAAATTTACCGTTTTCCCCTTAATTTTTAGTTTGTTTATCCCTATTATTTAGAAAAATATTAAGAATTTTTCACTTTAATCTACGACTTATACTTTTTGAATAATAAYAAATATTTAAAATCGTTGGAGGATAAATCGTTATCGTTACGCTATTTCGAAAAATTTAAAATTCAAACGCACTTAAAATTTTTCCTATAATGATGCTTCGAGTTTTATCTATAGCTACTTGAAGGAAAACTTAGTGTTGTATTTTTAATTCTTAGTTATAATTTTATAAACACAAAAAATTTTATGATTTTTCAACTTCAAAATTACTTGCATATTTTCGCGTTTTCGACAGATTTCGTAAAAATTTGAACTATAAACGCTTATAAAAAAAAAATTGTGACTTACGATTTTTAATTTTTTTTAGCTAAAATAAGAAAAACTCATAAGGAACCTTGTATTAAATTTTCAAGTTTTTTTAGTCGTCCAACATTTTTTTACCGGCACTTCAAAAAAAAATTATCATAAAAATTGAAAATTTCGGTTGTCTATAAATAACTCAAAAAAATTTCAAAAATTTTTGAAAATTAAACTGTACACAGATAACACTAACATAAACATTTAGTGAAATTTTCAAGTATTTACAGTGATTAGTTTTTGAATTACAACCATATAAATAAATCGATTTGGTCGAAAACGGGTTTTGCGTAAAAAYTCTTGTTTTKTTGTCACTTTTTTTTTGTTTTTCTCGATTTTTTTTAAAACTGTTGGAAAATGTTAACTTTTGACCTTTATAATGCTATTCACTTTTACATCGGAAACCACCCCCAAAGTTTGAAATCGAAGCATTATTTCGACTAGTTATGCTGTACACAGACACAAAAAAAAAACACATTATATTGTAAAATTAATACATTCATCACTTCGTCCAGAATCTAAAATGTATACTTATAAATTAATGTAATAGTAAAATTTAAATATGATACATTATACTATTTTATGAAACTTATATCGTTAAAGTAGGTATAGCGAAAGAAATAAATTTCCCGTATATGACACACATGAATCATGTTATATTGTATTATATATCAATAAATAATATATGATTACATATTTTTTTGAACATTGATTACACATTACACAACCTTAAATTCATAATATATACATAAGTTATATTAATTGTCTAATTTAATACATTTGATCAATGTTTCTAGCTGGTCGCGTAATCAATAACTCAAAATTTACCTTGGATCTTAATAATCTATATTTAACCATGCAAAACGGTGCAATTGACTCACCCTAAAACGAAGGTGTTTTCCAATAAAGATAAACATAACAAACACAAAATTCAATATAGACCCTTGGACCCCATATATCGCAGACCTTCAACGTAAAATTAAAAATGTTAGCAACATTTAAACTCGTTACACGCCGTACACTCATTAAGGTAATTTGATTTAATTTTTTAGTTATGCAAAAATGATGAAAAAAACAGAATTTACAATTCTACTCGGATTAATTCTGACAATATTATTTAAAAGGTAAAATGATATTCATAAAGTTTAAATAAAAAATTATATTTTAAGTATTAAAATATTGTTTAAATAAATATAACAGTTGTGTTTAGTGGCATACCTGTGAAATATTTTTGGGAGGGTGATGCTTCTAAAATCAGTAAAATCTAAAACCATCCTCAAGAAACGTCACTAGTTTTCTGCGTATTTTATCTATAAGAATGTATGAATTAATTTTGAATTAAAAAGTGATTCTATTATAGAGTGAAAAGTGATAAACTTGTGATTGACACGGATGCCGGTGCTGATGATGCAATGGCACTTTTGCTTACACTATCGATATCTGCCAACCTCGACACGAATTTCGAAATTGTGGCAATAACTTGCACCTATGGTAACACTAATTTGACCAACGTAAATAAAAACGTGCTCAAGACATTGACAATCGCAGATGAATCAAAAGTAACTATAATTCAATATTGGGATAACTAATAATTTATCAGTTATCTAAATAAAGATGATTGATAAATGTATTACATTTTGTCTAAACGAAGATAAAAATAAATACATTTTCATGTAGATGTATATCAGATAAACTCATGTTTGATTCAAATTTTAAAAATTTTCAGTGATGGTTTTAGGCAAAAAAAAAATTTCGTATTCAAATACTTCAAAACAATGTAACAATAAATAAATAAATTACAGATAAACCATACTTGAACAACAACATAAAATCCATCAAACGTTTTATCGTTTAAATTCTTCTGCCCGACTGTCTCGGTGTTAACTTGTATTATTATACCTTACTAAATAATCTCTCGCTGGTGATGACTGATGAGGATGGAATTGAACTGTTAAATTTTTAGACTTCATAATATGACAAATTTCATTTTTAATATACTTTCGAATCTTTCGGTTACTAGTTGCAATAACCATAGGCGTGCAGGTGGTGCATTCCTATTTCCTATTTTACAATTTATCACTATTCAGCATTCACTACTGTTTTTACCACCATGCCAATAAGGCAATAACATACTTGAATAAAAAAATAGTTTTCAAGTTTCCGCAGGTGGGGGGGGGGCATAGGCTGCACCACCCGTGCGCACGGCTATAGCAATACCTATTGTGCCCAAAGGTGTTTCATTATATGCGCCCAAACGGGTTCTCCCTGTTATACGCGGTAGCAGGAGTAACTGTTTTAGTGATTTGCTATTGTTAGTTAGTCGTTAAGTTACTACACAACTAATAATTTGTTAATTAATATTGAAATACTTGGTACAAATTATAAATTGTATCAAGGTGTTTTTATTTCGAGTAATAGGTTTTTTAATCCATTAAAATAAAATTTCTAGATAGGTACGTATAGATGATAACTAGAATTTTATCTTAKTTTTATTTTAAAGATAAATAATATGACTGAGCTGAATATTATAAAATTATTATATATAGATAAGATAAACGTAAAAAGATGATCAATTGTTATCAAGATATTTCCCAACACATATTATAGTGTCTATGTGTATATAATAAGAAAAATGTTTTTTTATTGATACAGTGAAACCTCTAAATGCCGGACACTCTCGGTCGCTTAAATGTCGTCCGCTATTTGGAGGTGTCCGCTATTAAGAGGGGAAATACAGTGAGTACACATTACACCGTTCCCAAAATTCCGTCCGTTATTTGGAGGTGTCCGCTATTGAGAGGTGTCCGTTAAAAGAG